TCTCTCTCTCTCTCTCTCTCTCTCTCTCTATATATATATATATATATATATATGTATGTAATATATTTATATATTATCTGTATATGTAATATATCTATATATATCTTATCTATATCTAACATTATTTAGGACTATCTATGTAACTACATCTATCTAGTGGTATCTATTTCTCTATGTAACTTACTATCTAGCTATCTACTGATCTATCTCTCTGTCTACAGTGATTCTCTACTAAATACACAATCTGCTACAACCCTACTAACTCTCAAAGCAACTAATGGCAACAACAGCAACAAACCAACCTGCTCTGCAAAGAAAAATTCAAATGAACGCAACTAAATATCCTGTCCCTGCACACACTCTATCCTAGTGATTCACATGACAAACCGAACCCATCAGCTGATCTGTATGACATCTGAGGCACTCAAGTGCTTCAAACGTCACTAGTCAGTGACCAAAACACACCTCAGCACAGTGGTTCGATACAATTGCTTCATGAGCTACCGCGCATGTGTCGGGGCCTCAGGTGTCAGAGGACCATCACTACACAGAGTTAGCCATGAAGGCAGAGGAGCATGGCTGGAAACTGCATGTCCACCCCATGGAGATTGGTTGTAGGGGATTTAGAGCCAAGTCACCTGTCTGTCTGCTATGTGAGTTAGGTTATAAAAGGGTGGAGCCTAACTGATAGCTCAGCAAGGTCCAGAGAGTAGCTTTGGAGCTGAAGAAAGGTGTGTGAATGGGGTAAAAATAGGTAAGTGATTTATAAATGGCAACATATTTGAGGATTATGCCTGTTAGGCTGAAGTAAATTAGCACAGGAGGACAGGCTTAGTAAAAGTGTTTACATGCAGCAGAACTTGCATTGGTGTTGGTGATAATATAGTTACAGACTCACTAGAATTGTTAATAGTCTTCTTCTGTATGACAGTCTTGGTAGAACAGTGTCAGTAGTTGGACAACTGAGTAGATCTGGCTCTCAGAGGTGCCTACCATTACAAGCCAGTTGGGCCAGCCACTGCTTAACCTGAGCAACTATAATGCAGATGCTGTGTGGCAAGCCACATACTGTAGCTGCTCTTTGCTTGGGTGAGGATAGGGTTCAGGTGTTTACTTGGTGTTGCTAATTGTGGGGCTCAGAATATTTATGATGGCATGGCCTCTTTGGGCCCAAATAATGGGTAAACATCATATGAATGCTTTCCCATTTTTTGGCACATTTAATTATTGACTGGAAGGTCCTTGCCTAATCTGCCATTTACTGTATCTTAGAATGGCATTGAGAGACTTTTGCTTGTCACTTCAGATTGCTTGGATCACAAAACATGTATAGTTGGATTGTCATTTCATTGCTGATAATAGGTTTATAACAAAATGGCAAACTACTTCAGTGGGCCTTTCTGGAACCGAGTTTGTCAAACTTTGTTGTGTTGGATAATTATTTTCTCTCCTGTTCATATTAGGTTGTCTTGTATTGAAGTTTTGCTATCATAATGGTATCCATCTAAAATAGTATAATATTTATTTATTTAAACGTTTCATTTCATGAGTAGATTCACACTGGTGTAGGTCCGATAGTCATTTAGCTATTAAAGCTACTTGAAATTTGATTGGATAAAGAGATTTTTTAAGTTACAAAACGACCCTTGTGCGCAGGGATAATATTGTGTGCTTATTTTCTGAAACTATCGTCACCATTCATGTACCAGGATTCTTCCTACGCCACACTGACGTCAGAACCTCCATGATGCATTTGAGTGATCCTGGTAAACTCGTAAATCTCATTACTATTTCTGAATAAAACAGCTGTTGTCTTTATTTCCATATTAATAACATTAAATAAATGTTAATTTAATAAAGTGGAAAAAACCCACACTGTGCTACAACAAGTATGGAAAGAAACAAATATGCTGCAGATGGGAAGCCTATGCCACCTAAAAATAATTCCAGTTTTATACTCCCCACCAATTAAAGTGGTGTCCAACGAACATAAGATCCCACAATTCTTCTCCATTACACTGTGTTTATTCTTCAGACATCTTAACCTCACACACAACTCTAACAACAACAAAGTCCAAAATGTATAGGGAAAAGTTATTATTTTGTGTATTTTCTGGAAATACACTGCTTTTAGTAGTCATACTAGTTTGCATCTCCTTGTGTGTGTGTTCTCAACATTATTATTGTTATTTTTCAGTATGACAGTGTGACTGGACAAATAACCCCCAGTGCAATACCTTCCTCCAGTGCAATACCTGTAAATACAATGTACAGATTATACGGATCCGTATAGGTCTTTTAAGTAGTCTATCTTTATTCCTATTTATCTCGTTCACAATGAGCATTCCTTTGTCTGTCTGCATTGTTTAATGCCTGTTTATTTTGCATTGTTTGCACTGTTTGTTGCTTGTTAATACTGTTTATTTTGTTATACTACACAGCCTTATGTTGGTTTACTGCTTACTTACCCCTTGCATGGGGATATGCACATGCACATTGAGAGCCGATGTACCAGAGTCAAATTCCTCGTGTGTCCGACCACACCTGGCAAATAAAGCTGATTCTGATTCTTCTTACAAGCGTAATTTTCCTTCTGAGAAATTTGTCCGACAGGACATGAAGGTGTCGACAACCTGAGGAGGCTCCTCCCCAACAACAGTTCCCGAACCCCGACGAGAATTCAAGCTGCCACATTGAAGAAGAGCAAAAAGACAACCTGACAGCGGTTTCTCCCCTTTCTCCGGGGTAGTCACGGGATTTCAATGTTCATCCTGCTCTTTGTAAGTAGCTAATGACTTAACCAATAGCTGACCTTTGGGAAGTTGGTTCTGCTCTGCTATTAAGAACAGCAGAGATTCCCAAGAGCTTGAATAAAAGTTGGGTTAAAAGTTACAAATTGTTAACTTTGGATGATTAGCACCACACAAGGGAGTTAAAGTAACGTTTAGTTCTTGGGACCAGCCAGTATGTAGCCACGTTAACGTTAGCTCGCAAAGCTGGGACAGCTAGAACGTTGGCTAGGTATCGCCAAATTGAGCAAAATTTTGTATATACTAGCATATATTTTATATCTTCACTGCGTTTATGGTCTGTGCCACTACCCTCGATTTAGTTAAATCTAACTTATATCTGGCCTAGGTGCTAAACATTGATGGGAAAGGCAAAGCACGGACCTGAGCTAGCCTGCTAGCTAATGTGGCTACGTTAGCTCGCTGTTGAGGCTAAGGCTATTTCCTATAAGACAACACTGCGACAAATAAGTTCACGTTACATCTGCATAATCTGACGGGCTTGTAATTTTTATTTTGGAACACAACCCTCTGGATATTGTAAAACGCGATATTATTGCCCAAACTGAACGTCGTCCGAAATTTCATAAAATAGGAGGTAACATTAACCCCAGTACAATGGTGCATCAGTAAAGGTAGCATTTCTTTTAGCATCTTACTTAACGTCTTCTTTGGTTGGCATTTCAACAGTTGTCTTAGTTAATTTGTACGACAGATGTTGACTAACCAGTGCCTGGGAATTTCTTCAGTATAATCATCTTAATTTGGTATTTGGCGGGGGTCTCGACACATGTCGGTATTTGTGAGAAGCCTGGCTCGAGGTAGATGGCGTCTGAACTGCCTTCCGCCCTTTGTGACAAATCTTGACCCGCAACATGGTCGACCCATTTATTTGAAAGCATATGCCAGCGTTAACGTTTTATGAAACAAAACAAAGTGGTCGACAACTCAGTATTTTCTGCCTCTCGATTATTACTTTGCCTTCGGTACCCATATTGTTTGTATTGATGTTTTATTGTTAACTACCCTGTCGTTTTACTGAGTAAATTTGTCTGGCTTTCATGTACCTAACGCTATAATTTAACCTAGTCTGGTTTCCTGAAACAGAAAGCACCCAACCATTTAACCATGTAGGCCGAAGTGAAATGAGGAAATGCACTTTGGAAGGAAGTTGGCTAGAGCAGCTGTGACACTAAAGGCCGCTGCACATTCCCATGCCTCTGTTTTCAATTTATGACCTTCCAGTGGTTTCAGTTCCTCCACTGGTAGTGAATCCTACAGGGAAGCTAATACAGATGAATAGCTTTAAACAGTTATGCTAACATGGGTGGATGAGTCAATGAGTAACTCGTGTAACAGGTAAACTAATTATACATTACTGCTTATGAATCACTACAGGGTGACCTAATTTACCTGCAGGAAGCAGAGAAGATGAGACACACTTAACACAACCATGTAAAAGTAACAGAAGTTTCTTGTTTTAATGTGTGTAAATTTCTTAACTGTACCACGTTGGATAATGCAAACAATGATGACCCACACTTGCTTCATGTAAGACTTGGATTTCACAACTCTTGCAGAGGAAAAGTCTGTGTCTTTATGTCTGTCTGAGTCTTTCATTGTGGATGTAGGTCGCTCATACTGGTGACCTGCTTTATAATCATAGATAATTGACCCATGTTGCACAGCCAAATCTAGAAATAGCGTAGCACCACTCAGAGCAGACCCTGTAGTGGAAGACAGACCTTTAACATGATACCACACTGCAAGTTACTTGGTTTTAAAATGTGATCAAAAGTGAACAGTGCTAAATACAAGTCTAAGCAACCACCAAAATGGATTGCGATCCGATCACTGAAACCACTTGCCGTGCTGGTCTGGGACGCATTTGACTAACGCTAATGTGTCCTGATGCACTACTAAACCACAAGGATATACTAGTTGTTAATAGTTTTTATTTGAAAAAAAAATTGTGAATGTGCATTTTTGTGTTTGCAACCTGCAGTAAAGGGCCTTTCTTAAAGATTCCCTCGAGATGTTTTAAGGCATGTAAAATGCGCTGCTATAATATATAGTCTAATAAATTTTTCCACAGAAATGTTCAAAAAACCTTTGAAAAGGGACTGAAAATATGTCCGGTCTTTGCCCTTTATTTTGAATTCAAAGATTTATGAATATTCAAATGTATGCAGTTGATTCCAGACATAGCTTGCTGCCCACTACGACTGCTTCTCCCAGGTGGGCCAGTGAAATCACTAGCCATTTTTGGCTAAATAAAGCTGATTCTGATTTTAGATACACATTGGACCATTACCTGGAGGAGCTGTATTTGAGAACGCAAGGACTTGGACATTAAATGTACTTTACTCTGCCAGCTCCCTAGTACAAAGTCTGTGTGAAATCTGAGTGAGGCCATGTAAGAAAGCAGCAGTGTATAGTGTGGTGTATTCACACAGCCAGCTAGTGGAAGTGTTGGTGACATCCCATCACATGACTAGTGCAAAACCAGTAAAATAAGAACATCTGAAGTTGAATATTAAAAACTGTCATTTACAATGAAGATACAAATGAAAATGTACGATGAGATTCAGGAACTTCTGTTAAGAGTTGGTGCCAGAATCGTCAGATTTAATGAATTGCAAGGGATTGGGTTGTTTCTACAAATTACAAACTTGCTACATGACCACATCTTGTCCCACCTCCTGTGAGCTCTCCCCAGCACCCCTTGCATTAAGCAAACTGAGTATTTTTGAGTAGGTGAGATAACATCTGACATGGACCATCTCTTGTAGTGTGCCGCATGTGTGAAAGGGTAATAGGGATGCTCCGATCCACCTTTTTTTGCTTCCGATACCTGGGATTCAGTATTGGCCGATACAGAGTACCGATCCGATACCCAAGTAAAATTTTTATAAAGTGCTGAATTACCTAATTAACTGTATGCATCCCTGTGCAATGCATTGGGCTCTACATGAACAATGTCATAACACTGTAAAAGAAAATAAACTAACAAATTATTCATTATTAAATTATTAAAGCAGAACCAGAGTGCAAAGAGTAATTTGACATCCAAAAGCAGCTGAATAACACAACAACTTCACTAGCTTGTGCTTGACTTTCAAAATTAAAGTGCAAGGAATTTCACATCCAGTGCAAAAGCAGCTGATAACAACATCAATCAACATAGGCACTTTGAGGTACAAGATGCACGTCCAACCAGTGTGCAGTTAAACTTAAAAGCGACACAGGGGACATTTCAGAGCTCCAAATATCTGTTGTGAAACTCACCGCTTTGACATCCTTCATCTCTTCGGAGATGTGTTTGCATGGTTTTCGGTAAAGTTCAGGTAGAGCAGTCTCGGATAAATATTTCCGCTTCACCATGTTGTACCGGGGTTCCAGGTGTTTTATAAGCAGTCTAAAGCCCTTGTCTCCAACGACAGAAAGCGGCTGCCCATCCAAAACAATGAAGTTCAGTATCATTTCAGTTATTTTCGCTGCTTTCACACTTTAAGGCGGAAATGTCTGTGTTCTTTCCTTTGTCTCTTCCAAAGTTAGTTGCTTTGTTCTGTCTCGCTTTTGTTTGTTCTGCTCATTGAACTCTGCGTGCTCATTTGGATGAAATCTCTGTAGATGCTTTATTAAATTTGTAGTGTTGTAATTCAACGTTTTACCACCACCCCTCGGAATGTTAACCTTGCATATATTACAAACAGCGACGGGACTTATTGGCGTTTCTGTCACAAAGTATCTCCAGATCGCGGATGTTCTGCCTCGCTCCATGCTGTTAGCTTGATCACATGAGGACTGAGCACACCACGTGTGGAAGATGCAACATGCTGCGCAGTCTCAGCGCAGCGTTAACTTGCCTAGCAAAAGTTTTTTTCTCAGATCGGGGCAGTTGTCGTCGATACCCGAGCTAGAATTTTATTTCATATCGACGCCGATACCCAATATGAATATCGGATCGGCGCATCCCTAAAGGGTAACTCCAGATAAAGTCTGCACCTGATTCTGCAGACATTTTCCGGAGTTCATGTGCATCAGGATACAGTGGCAACAAGGAATATGCGAGTGATTCAGCTGCGTATGTTGGAGCATCACTCAAATCAAAAATTCTGATGAGTCTGTCATTTACTAAAATCAGTGATTCGCAGACATCCCAGAATGATAAGTGTGGTTGTAATCTTAGAAGCATTGAGCTTGTGGATAGCAAAAACCAGAGTGATTTCACCATTGTTATTACATAGTGTTAACTGTATAAAGGAGGTCTAAGCTAAATGTGCAAATGGATTTACAGTCTGGCAGAGACTTTTAAAGTGTGTCAGACAGCATCTCTTTATTTTCACAGTTGATCCAAAATGTAATCCAATAGCCAAAAACTGAGACACAGGGTTATTAGCAGTAGGCTAACTGTTAGCATTCACTTAGGTTAGTATTACTAGGGTGCCAAATTTAATAACTCAACAGTGGTACGTGTCTCAAATTGTTAAATAGTAAATAAGGGTAAGAAGCTCTGGTGTCCAGTTTACATCCAAAAGCTGTGCACTCTGGCATAAAACCTTCGCTCCTACTCTTTGTTGCTGAATTTTTTTTCTGGATGTTCTGATACCAGAGGTTATAAAGTTCTCATGCACTGCTGAAATTTTTAGATAATTACATGGTGAACCATGATTGGCTTTGACATGTATGGTGTATTTCATTTTTCTTGTCAGTGTTTGAACCTCAAATTTTAAGGGGAGCAAACAGACCCCTTCCCCACCTTTAACAGGAATGAATTAGTTGTTAAATAGTAGTAGTAGTAGTAAATGCATAAATGTTTACATGATATTTTACACCAACAAAAAGGTTGTTCCTCTCCCTGTAGGTAGGATAAACAAGGATATGTGACAACTAAGGAGGTACTTAGCCTTGGTTACACTGAAGGTGAACCCAGTTTACAGTAACATGACCCCAGCTTACCAAGGAAGGTTACTGAGGGAGCAGGACACCTGTGTTGTAGCTTTCTGGCATTCAGCCCATCTAGCCACAGGATGGCTGCAAGTGTCGAAAGGCAAGGTTGAAAAGGTCCATTCCACAGTGACTGGCTTAATGGATTTGGCCAATTTAAAATCCAGTTATGCTTCTGGGTTTTTGGCTGTGGTGAGAATGGAACACAAGCTTTTAGTTTCACTGTGTGTTAGCTTGCTAAGATCCTTGGCCACAAGCAGCTATATTGTGTTGAAATCAGCCTAAAGTGGAAAGCTGGGATTAGGTGTCCACACCTTTTTTTTCTTTTTATTTCAAGCAATTACACAAAAAGCCATATATAGTTGTGCAGTAGTAGCCATGGGCACCTTGTGTATTTCTTGTCCTTTGTGTTGTTAATGAATCATGTGCTAGTCTGCATGGTGTTCGTTTACTGTTGTTGCCACAGCACTGGGATAAAGCAAAGGCACAGGCTCTGTAGCACTGGCAGTGTCTGACAGATTGTGACACCTCTTCTGGATGCTGCTGCCAGCTGAAACGATAGCAACAGGTAGGAATAGGATCTTCCTTTGTTATTGGTGTATATAGCTATCTTGTCTTGCTACAGCTGCCAGAACTACAGTTAGCAAGGGAAAACAGCCCTTTGCTAAAACATGCTATAGTAAAAATGGTGTTATTGTTATTAGAGCTGTAGCTGTTCACCTTTGCTGATTCAGAATTGTAGTTTTGAAGCACAATTCAGTTATTCCATGTAAACAAGCTTGATATGTTTTCCTGTTGCCCAGTCATTGTGTTGTTTCTGATGAGAGCTTGGACATTTCTTTATTCCATTAAGCAACTTCTTAAATGCTGCATTTTCACTTTTGCTCTGTGAATGTGTAAAGAGAGCACCATTGCTCTTCCCTGATCTCCTCACAAGGGACACCCAAATTCCCTACAGGAGCACTTGTTGCTACCATTGAGATAATTGTTGATATGGTAACGGGCATCCCGTGATGCTGCTGTCATAGGGCCAACTTAGTTTCTAAATGTCAGAAGAATTGATGTCGCAGTGGGACTCTGTACCTTTTGGCTAAAGTGTGAGCAGACATTCTGCTATCTGGGTCCGTCTGTTGCCGAGTGTCAGCCTTCTTTAGAAAAAAT